GTTTATAAGTGAAAGGCAGGGTACATGATGGACAGTTTGACAGTCTGTCTAGGTGCATTGATGTAATCCAATAAATTTTATCATGTAACCAGCAATTTGAGTGTATAGAGATAGCTTAGAATAATCTGAGCCACTCTAACTACAAAAGTGAAAACAGAGTATTTGCAACATTTTTTCTCTGAGTTTAAGAAGTTACAGATCTGGACTGGGAGTGAAATCCTCCTAAGGAAGCCTTTCCCTTGGTGTGTGGCACATGGGATAAAGGAATCCCTCTTGCTGTGATCCTGCCATGCTAAGCTGCTAACTGCTGGAGGAAAGTAAACCCTTCCATGGGCAGAGGTACAAGGTCTGGCACTTTTACAGACAACTTTTGGTAATCAATATGTCTATTGATAATTTTGATCATTTTATGTGTTAGTGATGTAAAGACAAACCAAACAGGATGGATCACATGGTATACTATGCTACACTAATATGTTTTAAGCTGTTTTTATAAAGCTCGAACAAGCCGTATTTCAGTAAAGGTTTAAACACTTTAACATTCATGTGTTTTCTCATATGCTCATTACATTTTGATTACCAAATTATGAAAGTCATTCAATGGAATCTCATTTCTGTTAACTGCTAGCTCACTCAAAGAAGAATAAAAATCAATTAAGTTAGGGTTAGTGATTTCTAAAAGTAGTGTCACACTGACACCAAAGAGATCTCCGACTCCAGAAAAGTCCTCTGCCAGCTATCTCACATAGCTGGCAGAGGACAAAAGTGCTCTACATGCAACTTCTGCAAAAATACAACAAATATTCTAAGGTGTAAATGATTGTTATCTTTCCTGACAAATAAAAGGGGATGTATTTCATGTGATAAATTTGAAACTCATCAGATGAAATCTGAAGCAAGTTTAAATGGAAAAAAAATCTGCTTCAAAATCTGTAAATTGAATCTCAGTGAAACTGATTAACGTCAGGACATAATGTCGAAAGGGCTACATACAAGAGCTACTTTCAAAGTAAAGCTCTACTTCTCCAATAATACTACTAAAAGAGGGGTGGCGTTAAGAGGAGCTAACAGGCAGCTGGGTCAGACAAACCAACAGCACAGGGTCATAATGGCTAAAGACAAAGCAAGAAAGAAAAAGAGGAATAGAAAGAGTGAGAAATTATCTAACTTAGTTGACTGGTTCTGATGTTTTTCATTCTTTCACAGAAACCGGTTTCATAAAGAAGACAGAAAGAAAGCAGCAGAGCTGCTCTATAGTCTGCCACTGTGAGTCGAGCAATTCTAGAAGCTACTGAGCTATAATCTATCATTTACCAGCTGTTCCTGCCAACACCTGGAAGGTGTCCTGCAGATGTGAAATTGTTTGAAACAGTCCTTTTAGTGTCGTCAGTAAACTAATGTGCTTCAATCAAGGGGATCTGCAGTCACTGGGGATCTATTATTGTGTAAAATCAACCAATCAAAGCAGGTAAAAATCTAAATACATCTTCTATTTAAGCAGTTTGTTCTGTTTGTGAAAACAGAAAACATGGGTTAGAAAGAAGGATAAACTAACCATACATTTTCTATTTACAGGAAGAAGGAGGGCTTTATTCTGAGACCCCAACAGGAAATTATCAGTGATCAGATCATAAAGTGACACCATGAAGCATGTCTGCAGCATCTGCTCTGTGAGTAAAAAAGCTGCTGTTTAAACTTACTACCTACTTACTAATTAACTGTTTGCCCTGAAATAACCTGAGAGTTTGGCCAAAAAGTAATCTTACAGAAAGAAATTCATCACATCAAGCAGGAAGATAATTACTTTGTGACTCTTAGTAACACAGGATTGGCTTTAAGGCACAGATGTATAATATAGTGACAGGAAATAATATTATTATTATGAAAAATAGATTAAATGGGGCTAATTACATTCCATTAGAAAAACTAAGTCCGAACATCAGATTGCAAAGTTCTTATAAATCTTTGTATGTTAAACTTTAACAAAATATTTTAATTTCTCCTCAGTTCCCTGTTTGCTGCATAATAAATGTAAATCCCCTTATTGTCCCACAATGGGGAAATTCGTTCTGTGCATTTAACCCTTCCCCTTGAGGAGTAGTGGGCGGCCATTGTGTGGCACCCGGGAGCAATCAGGGGTTAAGGGTTTTGCTCAGGAACTCAGAGTTGAGGCAGTAGGGATTGAAATGGGTGCTTGCTCATGTGTTTTATCTGCAAACATTTAATTACAGGGTTCCAAACAAATATTAACATATACCAAAAAAAATTTCATAATTGAAAGAGGAAAGTCAGGAATCTTGGCTTAAAGCCAACAGGCCTCATAAATACCACTTAATTTGTTCCTTTAATCACTTTATTTGAAGTAAAAGAGTTTTTTTTATACACCATTGTTACTTTTTTATTTTGTTAGCTTTTTCTATAGCAATTCTAGAAGTTCCTGAAGTACCACTGCGCTGCATGTTTTAGATTTCTCCTCACTGCTGCACACCTGACTTATATAAATTAACAATTACCAGACATCTACAGCCTATGAAGGCTCTTAAGGAGGTCATGCACTTATTTGAGTGAGGTGTGCTGCAGCTGCAACAGAGAGACATCTCAAACATGCAGGGCAGTAGCGATTGAGGAGCATGTTTGTTAACTCTTTTTGTAAACGGTTTTCTGTTCCTCTAAATTCTTTAGAAAATCTGGAAAAACACCAGAAGCTAACGGGTTGGAGATGAGTTTTTAGAATAAAAAAGCATTTAGACTAATGTCTAAATGCCTTTCAGCATCATTGTTAAACATTCTCTCCTGTTGCGTTTGTAGCCTACACAGTGCTGTGACATACACTCACCGGCCACTTTATTAGGTACCCCATGCTAGTAACGGGTTGGACCCCCTTTTGCCTTGAGAACTGCCTCAATTCTTCGTGGCATAGATTCAACAAGGTGCTGGAAGCATTCCTCAGGTAGTTTGTTCCATATTGAC